ATTATTATTATTATTATTATTATTATTATTATTATTATTATTATTATTATTATTATTATTATTATTATTATTACTTCTTTCACTTTCATCATTATTATTTATTTACCATTATTACCTTCGCTATTATTATTATCATTATTATTATTCTATTTATTATTATTACTTTCGCTATTGTAATTATTATTATTACTACTTTCGCTATTATCATTATTATTTATCACTATTATTATTATTATTATTCTTCTTCTTCTTATTTGCATGTACTGTACATATGTATATTGATATATTGATTTGGATTTTCGTTATAATATAGCGATAACGAGATTTTGAAGTTTAAAACATGAAAGGATTACTGTATATTGTTTATTTATTTTTAAATTTTGCTATGATAATGAGACTTTGAAGTTTAAAACATGTAAGATAACGGCAAAATTTGTATTATAATGTCACTAAACTGCTTTATTAGATAATGAGTGAAATTTTCCAAAAATCTTTTATCCATGAGAATTCAATATTTAAAATTAAATCTCATGCAACTTTTATAATAAAAATTATTAAATAAACTCCAATTAACCAAAGCTCTTTTATTTTGAATATAGTAAATAAGTAATATAAAAAAAGAGAGAACAGGTTAAGCAGAGATGGGTTATCGTTATGTATACTACATATTCCGGATTTATATCATAAAAGTAAATGTTAACAAAAGGTATAAGTGTCGCCGACAAAGGTAAGTATTATTTAGTTTAAGTTACTTGAAATTTCCCTGAAAACTACATTTCATAGATTCTAATTTACTGAAAAATAAAAAATATCGGTCACTTAAAAGCCGGAAATGGTGATAGTAATATACCCTCTATTAATGCACGCACTATATAAATTCTCTCTAAATGCACGGTATGGCTTGGTTCCAAGTTATAAGACACATATGTATTTTACTCTCTATAAATACACGCCCGCTCTAAGTGTACACTCTGCCTGTTTTTTAATATGGTCCCGAGGGGGGTGCACTTAGAGAGGTTTCACTGTACATGTATATCGTAAATTGCACTGTGGATCTTGGTTTCTTTATTTTGTGGAAAAATAATTGGTTTTATTAAAAAAAATTTGGACCAAATTAAGGTTTAAATTTTCTATAGAGGGGGATGGTTTATGCGGCAAATTACGGTAGCAATAATAATAGCAATAACAGCAGTAATAGCGAGTTCAAATTTGATCACCGTTAATTTTCTCTGTTTTTAGACAAAGAGGAAACAATTATTATCGTTATTGGTTTAATAAAGTCCAAAGTATAAAGCAAAGCAATTACCATTCATTCTCTTCAAACAAGGTGCAATATTTTGTTGGTGTTTCGTCATGAACTTGCAGTTTCTTGAACACTTAACATATCGATATTTTAACTACATGCACTAAAATCGGAATTTCTTGGAACACAGACACTTGTCAAACCTAAATACATGTATTCAAATCTATACTTAATAGGAAATGTCAGCGTGGTTTATATTTCAAAAGAGAAAGTAAATGTACATGTATCCAGTGTTATTTATGCATAATACTGTTATTAAATAAAAGCGGATATTTGGTTCTCGTTTTTATGATTTCAATTTGGATTTTGACGGAATTAAATCAAGACTTCCACATATAAATAATCGGTTTTTGAACAATGCCTTAACACTAATAAAATAAACTCAAAGAAGGCATCTGAATTTCGAATATTCATGACTGTGATGAATGCTGGAATTGTTAAATAAATAAGTACTGCGATGGGTGATTGTATGTTACGATTGTCAAAAAAATGATTACTGCTATCGCAAAGAATCAATAACTAAATGGATCCCTTTTGCCAATGTTGCATCTCTTGCAAAAGGAGGGTTTGGATCAATTTATAAAGCAACCTGATTGGACGAACTAATTTACAAGCGGGATCATGAAGGAAATAAATTTGAACGAGATGGAGAAAGTGGAATTGTGTTGAAATTATTACGGTAAAGTTTATAAATGAGGTAAACTGACAATTTCTAAAGTCTGAGCATGGCGCTTTGTAATTAACTTTTCTAAAATTAGATCCTGACCGCTCTAAAGTGCAGGAATAGCTATATCAGTTATTATGAGATTCGAAGAACGGGGGTTTTATGCAAAAGATGGCGATCTACGCAAATACGTACATCAATATCGATATTGATTCCTACTGCGTATGAAGAATTGAATTGGAACAAAAAATTAAAATATTTAAGTTCTATCGTTAGAAATCTAAATACAATTCACAAAAAGAAATTTGTGCTGATTTTGGACTTGCCAGCCCAGCAGATATAGAAAATCTAAACAGAAATTTACGGAGTTCTTCTAAAGCTGCAGATATTTAGAGTGTTGGAATAATTATGTACGGGGTTGTTACAGGTGAATGACCATTTGGTGGCATAGTCTTCTTGTATGCGACATCTATATCGAAATACCAAAATAATGGAGTATGACTTGCGATATCACTGAATCAACAAAAAATAATTATGAATTTTCTCTTTGCAAATAATTATATAAATGTTAATAGAATACTAAATTGAAAAAATAAAATATTATACTTAATATAACAGCTTAAATATATTAATGGCTCATATTGTGATGTTTCAATGTTTTTTTGCAAGAAACTCATCGATAAAAGTAAATTTGGACTTCAAAGTAATACATGTAGTTTGTGAGTGACTGATAGACTTAAGATCACTTGCTGAAAAATCTTCAGAGATCCGTTTAAATTGAATATATTTGCGAGATAGATTTACGAGCTTATGCTAAAATTATTAATATTAAATTTCAAATATTAAATATTGTATTTTAAAAAAAATTAAATAATTATATTTCAGATATCAAAATTATAAAGCAAAAGCTTGCAAGAAGAATATTCAGATTTTAGATCTTATGATTATTCCTATTCTTTGGACTCTAATTTTATATTTTATATATTAATATCGATATTAAATCATCAAACTTTCTTAATGGATACATCTGAATCACTTCTTGTAGGTGTGGCTCGGAAATTTTAAAAGTGAATACTTATAAAACTGCAAGAAGTATGTGTCACTTTACTCCCCTACACACGCTCTACTTTGGGTTTTTACTTTACATAATCATTTATTTACTTTTTTAAAATTATAAAATATCCTCTCCATATAATTTCGTTCTTGGCAATTGTGACATTTATTGCAATCATGTGTGTTCAAAATTATAGATTCACATAAATCGTTACGTGCGTAGTTAACATTAACAAATACATGTACATATTGATACACCGTAACATCAAAATGTTCAAGGTGTTACACATCATGATGCACAGTTATGGTGCACATGATAAGCTTTATAACACGGGATTCGATTTGTCCACGTGCACCGCTTCCCCATTTTGGAGAATAAAGCGATATCACGAAATTAGTGATATTAGTATA